ACTATTCTCAAAAGATTATCCGAACAAATTGTTCGGGTGAAGTGCAACCCAAATGGACCATGCCGGGTCGGGTCAAATGCATCTCAAATAATGTTATGGACTTAGACACTTTATCCAACAGATGTATGGTCCATTAGCATGGCCTAGACAGCTCTGGCACGCCAGCCTCGCCTGGCGCTCCCTTGCCAGCCTTGCAGGGGACTCCCCCGTCGGCCCGGCCTGACGCTCCCTGGCCTGACTCTCCCTTGCCAACCTCGCTGGGGACTCTCCTGCTGGCCCGACCTGGCTTTCCCTTACCAGCCTTGCCTGGTGCGCGCTCGCCAGCCTTGCCTGGTGCGCGCTCGCCAGCCCCGCCCGGCGCCTCCGGGCGGCCTCGCCCAACTCCTTGCTAGCTGGGCCTTAATTGGGCTGGCCCAAGGCCTAACCTAATTCCCCTTGACCTAATTGTCCCCTATATAATGAACAGTACCTCCTCCATGGAGGAGGATCCTTCCCTTTGGATCAGCCGCCACCCTAGACTCCGGCCGGGTGGCTCAGCCGCCACCCTCCGCCGTCAACCACCATACACCACCAGCACCAAGATGGTTCTCTCTGGCTAAGGAGAACCATCTCAGATCTACCAGATGATCTAACTTGATTGTCGGAGCCCGCTCCCGGGATACAGTCTCTAGGGTGGCTCTAACGCGTCTCTCTGTTGTGACTTCGCATATCTCTCCGCCCTAGCTGCCATCAAGAGAAGAGAAGAGAGCGAAGAGGTGGTTTAGATCTATGTTGCATCAATTAGAAATTCACATCTCTTAAAAATTCAGATCTTAAAAATTCAGATTGGACAGCCCAAAAATACACTTAATGTAAATGGTAAATTCGAAGAGAACATGAAATGAAAAGGATGCCGATAATCATTTCCTCTAAACAAAGGGAGTCTGTGAATGTCAGCATAAAATTGGTAGCACTAGCCTGCAAAAACAGGCATTTAAAAATGATATTCACGACTTCTCCAATCTCCGTCGTAACGTCACCAAATTCTTCAATTATCCCTAACGTCTCTCTCTCTGCTAGCCTCTCTCAGATCCCGGGGAGACCATCTACCTTTGTCCCCGCCTCCGTCAAACGGGTTCCAGTTAAAGGCAGTAGAACACATTCCACTTCCACACCGCCGCCGCAAAGCGATATGTCAGTCACCGTTCCTATGCCAGCTGAGGATGAGCCCTTTATTAGTTCCAGAAACCGTAAGGATGAAGTGATAATTTGCTTTTTACACTTGTAGTGAATATGTACTACTACTACTACTATTATGTTGTTTAGGAAGTAGACGGCTCTAGTTATATATATCTTGTTATCTGCGGTATTTTGAGCATATGGTGTGTGGGAATTGACGGTCTTGCAGCAAGTAGAGTTGTATAACTATCAGTGTGGATTCAGTTAGCCAAATTTACAATCAGTTTGGGCGAACTTGGGCACTCCGGTGGTGTTCACACGGTTAGGATCTGTGAGTATACTAGAATTAGAATCAGTTGGCATCCTGAGGGAGTGATGGGGTGAGGATCTGAGAACATGCTAGAATTAATGACATGTTAGACTAATAAGCTGTTGTACTTAGGGTTTCTGACGTTTCATCTAGACTTGTAACCATGATTCAAAATACAAGCAGCTTAGACTAATTATTCTCATGGGAATAACAGATAACTAGATACAGTTAACCATCAGTAAAGTCAAGTCGGTTGATGTATGCTCTTCCCTTTGCTTGGGACATCTGTGTGGTCTTGAAATCAAATGTGCCTCTGTGGGTTGGAGATTGATGCGCAACAGGTGAAATTATTCTCAGTTCCAAAGTGTTAGGGAAACACTAAACAGTGTATGTTACTTTGTAGTGCACTACACCTTGTTGAATTGGCAAATGAAGTTATGCTTCTTATAACTTTTGAGATGTATTGTAGGTGTTTGATATGCAACTTGAGTGAGAGGGATGTGCGGAAACCAATGTTTCACTGAATGAGTTGAAAAAAAAGCAAGGCTTAATAAGAGAGGGCTGTTTGATGATAAATGAATCATTAAAATTATGTCTCTTTATTATTATGTTGTAAATTGGTATACTAGAGTCTGGTTTTTAGTTGGTCTTTTTCCTTGTTTAACATTATTATTACATTTTTAGTTTAGTTTGTTTTTGGATAAACCATAATTTCCCTTCACTAAAAACCCTATGGCTTACATGGAAGAAAAGTGGATGGGATAAAGTTTGTAATGATGAGGATGAGGAGGACATTCATGTGTTTTGTACAGACTATAGACGAGAGACCAAGAGGGAATTTTGAGTGGGACAAAGAATTGCAATTTTGTGTTGTTGACATAAATGCACTGTTCTGTCCTACTCCTTTCCTTGTTAAGAAATATGGTTTATTTATGGAATATATCGTTTTAGGTTAACAGGGATTCTTTATGCTCATGTTTATTAATAGTAAGTCACATTGTTGCAGGTGATGGTGATGGGGCAGTCTCTTCTAGTCAAACTGTGCCTCAGAAGAATAAAAATAAATACTGTATCCGCTCTGTTAGCTGTTATGGTGTAGACCTTACACCGGATAATTGTGCAGTTGCTATGGTATATTTTGTCCAAGGAGTCTTGGGGCTTTCTAGACTCGCTGTCAGCTTTTATTTAAAGGATGATTTGCATCTAGACCCTGCTGAGGTACATCAATATTAGTATATTTACCTATTTTTTGCACTTAATAGAATACAAGTGAAAATGTGTGCAAAACCAAGGAGACTTTGTGCACCTGTGTCACTCTTTCATTCTTTGTTTTGCCACACATCTTTAGAGGTTATTTTTGTCTCTGCACATAAATTCTTTTAGGTTCACGGGATTTCATTCCGGCGTTTAGTTGTTAATGAATACGAAATTGAATTCCGTTGGGATTCACAACATCCTTTGACCGATGGATTTCTACATTCCGTCCTAAAACCTGTGGAGTTCAATCCCAAGCATCTCCTTCTTGTTAATAATATTGCTTCTCAAATACCCTTCTATTTTCTAAAAGGGCAACTTTAAATATTTATAATTTAGCTTTTAGCTGAAAACAGTATATATATATTTTTTAAGAAATAGCATTTTTCATCCTAAGATGTGTATTTTATTGTTTACCTAAAAATAGTCTTGGTGAACAAGAAATTACTAAAAGGTGATTAAAATATTTTTGTGATCTCAAAATATGTATTTATGAAACAAACAAGAATTTATGAAAAGGCAAATCTATCATTTGTCCTTATTTACATTCCAAACCCTAGGAAGACATATTTACTAAACAAGCAGAAACATACGAAGGAATGTTGAATTCCATTTCATTTCCTGCCAACCAAACACGTGTCAGATTTCAATTCCTTTGAAAAATTGCGGATCCTTTCAAAACATTCTACAAACCAAACACGCCCTCAAAGAATTCCTCTGTTGATAAACATAGATATGTATGTTTAAGTTGAATGTTTCTGTTTCTCCCAAGTCCGAAGGTTGGCCTTTACAAAAGGAATAGAGAAGATTACTGTTTTATTGTTAATACTTAATATGTTTATGGATTAGCCCATGATCTAGTTTGCAGTTATTTAGCTAATACTAACCAGCCATATGTTATTACATGGTTGACTAGACAGCTGTGATAACCGGTTTTTCAGCGTTGCCTTGGCTTATTAAGCCGGTGTATGGTTTTATCAGGTGCGTGAATATTTTTACTACAAAACCTGTCTTGTAGGCTGCTTTTGTTACACTGAACAATTAACAATTAAGTATTCTTACATTGCATGAAATCATTTTTCTTTTTGTAGTGACTCGGTCCCACTTTTTGGGTATCGAAGAAGGTCGTATCTAGTTTTATCCGGACTCCTTGGAGCTCTTTCATGGAGTTTAATGGCCAGTTTTGTCGATGGCAAGTATGGTGCTGCTTTATGCATACTTCTTGGCTCTCTTTCTGTTGCTTTTTCAGATGTTGTAAGTACCACTACTACTTGTATTGTATTCTTATTTATGTAGGCTGTGTAGACATATAAAAATCTCACTGCTTCAAAAAATTGCTTCTCTATTTTAGGACTCAAAAACCCCGTTAATTATGGGTTGTTGGTTAGTCTAATAATGTGTTGCACCCTGTGTATATCTAATTTTGAGGATATAAAAAGTTGTTGTAAACTTGCGGTAGTTGTAATCGCTGGTCTAATTAGATGCACTGCTTAATATGCTTCAATATAATTTTTAATTGTGTGACGAGGACTTAGAAAACCAAGCTTTAAGAAAAAATTAAATAAAAAATAGAAGGGTATTTCTCCCAAGTCCCACCTAATAAAAATCACCAGCATATTGTTTAATTTTGGAAACCACACTTTGTAGGTTTTAGCGATTATCTGTGTGGTAAAAATTAATTGATTTCTTGTTTGCTATTAATCTATAACTACAGCCTACTACTGTACAACAACTAATGAAACATATGATTTGGGGATTTTAGAAAAATAATTTAAAATGTGGATTTCTACCAAATCATAGCCACATCATGTAATCTAATTCCAACCAAAGTAGATGAATTAAAACATGAATCACACATAGCACTTAAGCCTACCATCATCACACCTAATCTAGGCCTCTAGGGTGTTTTTGGCATGGTGGCTCATGCCCGTTGCCTAGCTATTGAGTAAAGCACAACTTAAATCATTAAGAGAAAAGTTATAATGGTTGTTAACAAAATCACACTAGAAATATGGAAATTACATTGATTTGGAAGGAAATTAGCTTAAGGAGGTGATGTAAGAACTGTAGCCCTCCACATAGCTAATTCTTCACATGTATCCAATAAATGATCCTTGAATGGTTGAGAGTTGATCAGTTTAGCACTTGATTCTCTAAAATGTAGAGAATTAGGCTCCATTTCATGAAAGGAATCTTTTGTCTTGTCCTATCTAGAAAGGTGGAACAAGGTAGGACATAGACTCACTCTAGATCTTGTTTGGGCTCTCCTCATCATCATAAATTGGCCTAGAAAGCTTGTACGTTTAGACTTTAGCGTAACAAACAAACACAGCCTTAGTTGGCTTGTAATCACTTTAATTGGTCAAAGGATGGGGGAATTAGTTGTGATAAGTAACATGTACCTACGACTATGAGGGAGAATGGTGAGGAAGGAGTATGTAAAACTTAGGTAATAATAGGTGAAAGTGAAACACCAAAATATGTTGTTACTTAAATACAAAACCACAATTGGATCCCAATTCCCAACCCAAGAGCAGATGTAGATCAACTTAAACCACAACACACTGAGAATTGTTTTTATTATACGGTACCCACACCTGACACCTCCTTTCCTTCCTTTGTCATTAAGGTTAATTCTACTTTTCTGCTTCAGAAAGTTACAATTTCAAAAACCCCACCCTCCATCCAGACCAAAGCAATTAACCTTGTCAACTAGAACTAGAGTATATTGTGGTTGGAGCCAGAGCAACAACTAAAGTCAAGAGAATGCTGCTGCTGGTGGTCTGTTTGTTTGTAAATTGTAATTCCAATGGTTTAAAGTGTTAAGTGTTGTTGTTGTTGTAGGTCGTAGATTCCATGGTTGTAGAGAGAGCACGTGGTGAGACACAAAGTGTATCAGGATCTCTTCAATCACTATGTTGGGGATCCTCGGCCTTTGGAGGAATCGTAAGCTCCTACTTTAGTGGCTCCCTGGTGCATGCTTATGGTGTAAGGTATGCTCAATACTATGTTTAGACATTAGACTGGGACAAAACAAAAAAATGGAACATAACTTTACCCAAAAAAAAAAAAAAAAAAAATTCCCAACCAACTGATGCTGTGTGTAAAATGTAAATGAAGAATTATTTTGCTAATTTTCACAGGTTTGTTTTTGGTGTTACGGCATTGCTTCCTTTGTTGACATCTGCGGTTGCTGTGTTAGTGAAAGAGCAACGTATGGGACGTGGTTCTGGTTCATCAAAAGATACTACTACTAGTATTCTTCAGCTGTGGCAAGCGGTCAGACAACCCAATGTCTTCCTTCCCACTTTATTTATATTTCTCTGGCAGGCAACTCCTCACTCCGAATCCGCCATGTTTTACTTCACGTACGCACCTCATCCATCATATATTATATATTATATATTATATATTTACCTTTTGTTGTGCAGTACAAGTTGTATTGCGTTTTCCATGAATTAATTAAAAAAAAAAAGGCTATGCTAGACACTCTACTCTACATCTCTTGTTTGTGCACAAGATGTGTATGGTATGTAAACTAGCCTTAGACAAGGGCTGTTTTCAATGATGAGGAGGGAGGGCATTTTTGCACAGACCTCCTTTTTCAGGAGGGAATAATAGATTCCAGTTTTTGTCCCATTGACAGTGTCCTCCTGTCCTTTTCTGTGTAACAAAACAAACACATTCTCTGTTGTGCATACAGAACAAATAAGCTGGGTTTTACACCAGAGTTCCTGGGGCGTGTTAAGCTTGTGACATCAATTGCTTCGCTTCTTGGTGTTGGACTTTATAATGGATATCTGAAAAATGTTCCTTTGCGCAAAATTTTTCTTGCTACTACTCTTACTGGTACTGCCCTTGGCCTCACTCAGGTTTGTATTAAATTTCTTTTTTTCCCCAAAATCCACAACCCTTACTTTTCCTAACACTATTACCACTTTATTCAAATTAATCAATATACTTTTTTTTATTCATGGACTGATGAAAGTATATGGATTTTTCACTAATCTATTCTACGGATTTTTTTATTTTTAGGTTATCCTTGTCACAGGGCTAAATAGGCAGTTTGGTATAAGTGATGAGTGGTTTGCAATTGGGGATTCTTTAATCATAACAGTTCTTGGTCAGGTATGTAATAATTCATTCTACACCTACATTTACGTTTTGCTTTCTTTGCTTAACAATTACACAAATTTTCAAACACAACTAACCACACTGTAACTCATGCCAACATTACAAACACTATATCCGCTAATTGTATAAAATCCACTATGTTTTCGGCAGTCTTCTAGATTAACCATATTTCTTATATTTATAATATCACTCCAACCATACAAGTTTGAGACATCTGTTTAATATAACCATTTTTGCTTTTTTTTTCCTTCTTTTGCCTTATATGGCGTATTTATAGAAGAAAAAAGAAAAGTGTATGTGCTTGTTGATTCTTTTAATATAATAATAATAATAATAATAATAGTTATGCCACATCATATGCCAAATTATCAAAAATAGCCAAAAACCTGTTTAACCTGATATCACAGGTCATTATGGTCAATATAAAAGAAAAATGTCTCAAACTTGTATGGTTGGTTTAATTGGAAAAACTAAAAATCGGTGGTAACCCGGAAAACTTCGCTCGCTCGCGCTACAAATATGGGCAATGCTTGCTACCTTTTTATTATTATTATTATTTTTTTTTAACATGTACTATATTTGTTGAACATTGCTAATTTGCTATTGCCAATAAAGGAATGCAAGTATGCTTCCATTTATATTTTAGTGTTAGGAAATGTAACCACATACATTGCCGTTTATGTGTAAAGCAAGTATGCTGGTAAATAGGGAAGTATATTGCCAACTTTGGTAAAAAGAGTGAAGTATTTTGCTATTTATTTCCCACAATTTGCCAAAAAAAGATGTATAATACCTATTAACAAGGAGAGAATTCAGAAAACTCTTGTTGTTTCAAAGCTAGAATATAAACCGAACTGAACCAATATGGAATTGTTTTGTAACATATATATATATATATATATATATATATATATATATATATATATATATATATATATATATATA